TTATTATTATTATTATTATTATTATTATTATTATTATTATTATTATTTTAGCCTTTTGAAATAGTCCATAGTTCACTGTAATCTATTCGGAGACATATATAATATATTTTAAAAGTTATAGATCAACTTCTTGCAGATAAGCTGTAGATCAGGGGTGTCCAACCTTGGCAACTTTAAGACTTGGCTGAGGAATTCTGGGAGTTGAAGTCCACAAGTCTTAAAGTTGCCAAGGTTGGACACCCCTGCTGTAGATGGTCTCATTTTAGAAAGACAATTGTCTCTCATTTTCTCACGCAAGGAAATCCTCATTCTAGGAGGCATATTTTTAAAAAAAGTGACTCATGATTGGTCCTCACATTTATGACCATTTTTTAAATCAAATTATTGGCCACCCATAGTAGCACATCCCCACGGTTATGTGATCAAAATTCATACACTTGGCCAGTGGCATCTACAACTTATGACCACAGTTGAACCCAGAATTTATGTTGCTAAGTGAAACATTTCTTAAGTGAGCTTTGCCCCATGGCATGACTTTTCTTGCCACATTTGTTAAGCGAATTACCCCACTTGTTAATTTAGTAACATGGTTGTTAAGTGAATCTGGGTTTCCTCATTGACTTTGCTTGTCGGAAGGGCGCAAAAGGGGATCCCATGACCCCTGGGACACTGCAAACTGTCATAAATATGAGCCAGGTGCCACACATCTGAATGTAAATCATGTGACCATGGGGATGCTGTAACAGTCGTAAGTGTGAAAAATGTCATTCGTCACTTTATTCAGTGCCGTTTGTCAGGATTCTGGCAGTTACCCCCATTTAAATCATGAGCCCCAAGCCAAACTTCCAAAACTTCAGAAGGATTTATTGGGAGTTAAAAGGTCCAGTGTTGCCTGGGTGTAGCTGACTCTGAGACACATCATTCATTGTCACCCTTGACCCTGGTTTTCCCCCACCCCTCTGGGTGTATCGAAATGCATATTCTGCAATGGGACACATCCATAGCCCAGAGTCATCAATCATGCTCTCCAGTTAGAATTTTGCACGGTAGAAACTTCGGTCACCTAGTTACTATCTTTGAAAACATTTATGGAATGCACTTTCGGTTTGCAAGCTGCTGCACTGCTCCTCCCTCCCTTTCTGTTGGCAACTCTAAAAAGACCAGAGAAATATTTTAGGAGTTGACACCACTGTAAGTTCAAGCAGTCACTAGGTGAACTGTTGTAAGTCGAGGACTACCTGTTTTTACAATGGTCATGGGGTCATGTGATTGCCTTACCTGCTGGCTTCCAATAAGCAAAGTCACATGATTCCACAATCCACTTAACAACTGCAGTGATTTGCCAAAAAGATTGCAAAATCAGGTGTGATTCATTTAACAATTGCCTTGAATAGCAATGGAAATTCTGGTCCCAATTGTAGTTGTCAGTCAAAAACTATCTGGATGCAAATTATATGCCAGTAATAATTTGTGTCATTTGTGTATGATGTCATTATGGCTTTCCCCCCAAAAAAGCACTTTTGCAAACAGAGAC